GTTAAAATTTTCTTGAACTATTTAGTTTCTTTGCAATTTCAGTCATAGATTAACAAGTTAACTAATAGTTTGTTAACTAAGTTAACAAACAGTAACATTTTGGCTTCTCATTTTTCTTTAATTTAGGGACATTTCCCTATTTTTTAATAATTGATTACACATGACAAATAAACTGGGAAAAATACTTTGCTGTTTGAAAATCTAGTATGCAGGCGCGAGTAGCATTTCTTGACAACTGTTACTTTAGCAACAGTCATATCAAGTTAAAAAATTTTACTAGAGTTTAAACGCTGTGTTTCTAAATTGAGATATCAACTATTTTACAGTTTTAGCATATTTTCTTTAATTTTCGCAAAAATGAAATGGATAACAATCAAATCAGTCATTACATCTTGTTATGTAACAATGGAAGTGTTAAAAGAAAGCGGCGTGCAAGATTAACAGGCGCAGATGCAGGAAATCGAACATATTTTTAGACCCATCTCAAAGTTCTCTAATTAGTCTGGAAACAGGGGGATTAATTCTTGCATTCTATGAAAACGGGTAAGACTGGCTATAATGTAATAACCTTAATCTTCGCTATCGTTACTTTTTGCCCGAGCAATGCCGGGCTTATTTGCTAGTTGTTATATAAATTAATTAAACCAGCTCTAAGTATAATACTTTATTTACTATATAATAATTGATGTAGTAATTATTTAATACGTTATATATATAATATATAATAATTATATAATAATAAAATTATATAAAAATTATATAATAATTGTAAACACATTTAATCGCATAATACTCACATCGAGTGTTCGATAAAAATATGGTTTGTTAGTACTGTAAGCACATTTGGCTGAACCAAGACAGTTGATAAATTGGTTATATTCCTAATAATATAAATATTATCAATTAACGAAATAAATGATAATTAAAACAACATTTAGAAACTGGAATAAGTTACTTGTGGACATGTTCGCAGATAATTACAAAGGAAATCTTCTATCTCTGCACATGTATCGTAAAATCGTATTTGTTGAACACAGTTTTTAAAGAATTCTAAATCCTAAATATCAAATATTGATAAATGATTGTATGGAAAATAAATTTTAAAATAAAACTTTTGCGAATATTTAAAAGCTTACAACTTCGTATCCGTTTTCAATTACGCATGCCCGATAGTTTCTTCTTCCGTCACAACTCAGTGCTAATTAAAATAAAAATTAGAAACGTAAAAATATCAATATATTTCTAATAAATTTATCTAGATTTACATAAGATTAATCAGAACATTATTAGGATAATTAACGAGTAAAACATGAAAATACCTAACAGTAACAGTATGTTACTAACACACACTTACCACAAAAACTATCCACAGATCGTACGACATATTCATATGGATTCACAGATCCAACACTTGAACCTTGTTGAAATAGTTGAAAAGATTTAATTGAAGGAAAAACAATAGTAAATATGAATAACACTAGCATAAACGTCATATTCATTGATGTTTTCATTTCGTTTGGGAAATTTTTTATCACGTGACAGTAGAACGTGTTATGATGTTTACCAGGATACTNTCCACATCTCGTACGACATGTTCATATGGATTCACAGATCCAACACTTGAACCTTGTTGAAATAGTTGAAAAGATTTAATTGAAGGAAAAACAATAGTAAATATGAAAAACACTAGCATAAACGTTATATTCATTGATGTTTTCATTTCGTTTGGGAAATTTTTTATCACGTGACAGTAGAACGTGTTATGATGTTTACCAGGATAATAATTTCAAAATACCTAAAAATATAAGAAGCATTTTAATACTGGAAAAATTTAATTTATTAATAATTGGTTAAAAATTATCTAAGTTTGTCTTTATTATATTTTTATGTTAAAAATAATTGAAATATTTAACGTAAATTTTAATAAAGCAAATCTAAAAATTTACATTTCGGATATAATAGACTTTTAATTAAATTATAATTTTAATTTTATTATTGCAATTATTTATTCAGCTTCAAGTCTATCTAAAAGAAAAATATTCTGGCAAGGACTTACACGAATTTCTCAGTATATAAATATTAGAAAGATAAAGTTAGGTGTAGCGCCTTCTATTACGGGACTTTATTGAAAAATTATTTTATATTTTTAATTATTATAAAAAATAAACAACTTATTTTAGGTTAGAAGTGAGTTTTTTAAAGAAATTGTAAATGCAAGTAGTGAGTAAAAGTTTCATTAGAAAATAAATGAGGTCACATGTTGTATCTCCAGTGGGTCAAATAAAGATATGACTCCATTCGAAATTTAACGTACATACAAATAATCTTGCTAAATTTCAAAATATTCGTGTATATAGTCAAAATAGATGGCAACATACAACGATAAGAAATATTGTAAGATGGTCTGACATTTTTGGGCTCTTTGAGGGGATCCAAACAAGTAGAAATGCAAATGCAAATCAACCGGAAGGATTCAAAATTTGACCGATCACCAGACCATCTGTACGTTAAGTTCTATAATAGCAGAGAAAAAAAAATTTCCTATATTTAACACGTGTAAAGATCTTCATGTATTTAACATCTTAAATGTTCCCTGACAAAAAGTTACTTTACTAAAATTAAATGTTTTCTGCAATTTGTATTTGCAAATGAGAAGAAAGCGAAAACAAATAATTACTTTCTGATTGGATACGTACTATACATTCCTCGCTCATATTTTTACGGTAAAGAAAGATAAAAGACAGAACTTACCTTTTTATAATCTATTAAAATATACTAGACGTTAGATTTTATAAACTAAAGTTCTTACGAGTCGTTAAAGTAAAGCTGCATAAAAATTTATATTCACGTTTGTTCGAACTCTTTTATATACTATTCCGTATCAAAACACCAGCTGCGCGTGTTGTCAACATATGAAATTTAACATGTCGTATAAAATGGAGTTCTCATTCTTATTTGAACTCCATTTTCTCATAAATAACTTTTAAATATAGAATATTTCAGTTATTTTATATTTTGATAGAAGTTTAAATTCTTATTTAATTAATAACATAACGTCCTTTTCTAAATCGAGTTTGAAGATGAATAAAATTTAATCTTAAATTCAAGATTAAAATGGTTCAATCTGTAGTTTAACATTACTTATACAAAGCAACACAACAAACAACAACAAACGCACACACATAGATCACATTACAAGTTAAATATTATTGAAATTTAAATTTGTTTTTAACAGAGACGCCCAGAGGGAAGACATAAGGTTTAAATTGCCGTGGAAGTAGGCGCTCTTATACAATATTTCGTTCAGTTCCTTTACTTCAATATAATAATTTAATTTGCTATAGGAGATTAATATGTACTTTCCCCAAGCCCCATTACCTCCTGAAAAGCCTTGGTTCTTAACATTTCACAATAAATTATTAGTATATAGAGATATTATTGTATTAAATTTTCACATAGTTTAAAAAAATGTTTTCATAAAATATTAAAACCACACATTAAAATTATAAGTTTAAAATCACTATCAAAGCAATAAGCTGCTGTAATTTTGTCAAATTGTAAGATACATAAAATATAATACAGGTATTCCTTGTTCAACACGGTATTGCGACAACACTGTTTTGCTCTAACACGGTTTGAAGATTGTGGATGTCCCCCGTACAACACGACTTTCGGTTTCGCTCTAACACTCTTTCGGAAATTCTCTATACGAAATTAACAAATTTTAGGTATTTAGTAAAGTTTATTTAAACATTTTTAGACAAGAGCTATAAATTCGTCACTACGTCTGAGCCTACTGAAAATACACACGACCTCATTTATCTTTCCATCACTAATACTTTAATCAACAAATTTTAATACCATCAATGCCACTAATAAACAATCTTCCATGCGAAATTTCAGAAATTTTCGACAAAAAGCACAGGATATGTTAAGCTTTAAAGAAGTTGAACAAAATCGTGCCCTTCAAACACCCACTAAAATCCATACATACAGAAAAAAACCCTGAAAACTATATATTTATGGTCGAAAAAAACTTATTAAAAAATAGTACATAATGTCCATGCAATCAAAAACTGATATTGTAAACTTAATGTTTTCTTTTTTCTTTACTATTCTTTTTTACCTATTTTATTATTTTGTTATTTATAAATGTATATACATTACTGTTATTACTCATTGGATTCAAATAGCTCAATACTCCAAAAAATTTTGTATTTTAAATATGTTCTTAACTGTTCTTTACAAAAGAACAGTTATCAATGTTCCATGATTTTAAAAAACCCGAAGATGGTCTGTAGAATAGGCTGAAAACGTTCGTTACGGTTAATAAATAATTCTCAGCCAGATGAGGTGTTGTTGTGAAAGTTAAGATTGTTAATTAATTATTGATTGGAAGTAAATTATCAATTGCTTTAATAAGCATATTTCTCTTAGTAACGAAAAAGAATTGTATACTTTTGCTAACATCTGAAACCTAACCCTATGTTTTGCATTAGTCCTTTGTTTCGTGTAAGCATGGATTCGCATAACACGGATTTTTTCGTAACGTAATTACCGTGTTATACAAGGAGATACCTGTAAAGATTTATTCAATTTTCTTAAAATGCTTTTGTTGCGATGTTTATAAATCCAAAAATATTAATTCATATATTTATAAAATTATTTTATTATTTACTAATATTTATGTATAAGAAAACGGCAAAATAACGTGTTCTTAATTCTAAACACTAACTCAGAAAATAAACAGTCATAAAAAAGATATAAAAATAAAACAGTGAAATTTTTTAAAAATATTTCATTTTTTTTCTACGCTAGAAAATATGATAAAATAAAATTCCGTTTTCTGATACAAAGATAAAAACTGTGGTATTTGTTTTGGGTTTCCCGTTTTGAGAAGTTAACTCGTCTTTCATTAATTACAGAGAACTTGGATAGTCTTTCTGACTTCCATCATAAATTTGCAATTAAAGAAGAATTATTACATAATTTCTAAATATATTTCTAGCAAAATTAATAACACCATCACCATTTTCTAACGCCATTATCGCCTTTATAGCCACGTGTTAACGCTAGGTAATCATAATACAAATGTAAATTTAGCACGATAAACCATCACAAGTACAATTAGAATCATAAATTATCTCAATAATAATGTAGGTCGCAAATTTCACCATTGAAGTTGGTATTTCCGTTATTTATCGTGAAAATAATTTAATATGCCTTTCAAATAAAAGAAAGTAAATTTATTTTTTTAAATTTTCTAAAAGCAGGACAAAATATATATACAATTTTCTTAGAATTAACAGCAATAATGCTTCTATTAATGATTTAATTGCTGTTAATTATAACAAAATTTTATAGAACAAATGAGGTCAATAAATATTGTCATAGTTGAAAAGCATATGTGTTTACATAAACAAAAGACATAATTAACATATGAAAGCGTATGGTTACGATAAACAAAATTGACCTAAATAAAAACGTGTTTTCATTTATGTTAATTAATATGCTAATAACTTATAGGAAGCTTAAGCCGACTTCAAGTATATTTATAGGATTTAATTTTATTAATATTAATCTTAATTGATGTTTCAGAGATTGATTTATTAAACGTGAATGTGTCTCTGTTTATTTCCAAGTGGTTGGCTTTATTCGATTATGGAAACGAGACACGTGGGCAATCTGCCGAGGGGCAATACCTTCTGATAAATCTTTTATGGGAAACAGGAACCTATTTAGGTGTTACGAACGTGAAGAAAACTCGGAAAACTCTACGTAGCCAGCCCGTTGCCAGGTGCAAACCCACGATCAGTGTTTAGTGGTGGGCTAAACAAAATAGAAATGTCTTCGCAGAACGTACAAGTATGAATGGATTCAAATATATTTCTGATAATGCCTTCAAATATTATTGCATTATTGAAGAAAGTTTTCAAAAACATTGGGATAGGCTTGAAACAATAATTATTGCAGACAGTATATCAATTACATCACCAGAAAACGAATTTGCAAGAAGTAATAATAAATTTGTCATACGTTTAAATTACAGAAGGTTGTTTCAGCCTTATGAGAACTTTCTGAATTGAGTCGAGCTCTTCATAAGTTAGAAAGTGTTTTGCCAGTTTAAAATCTGTTTGATCGAAGTTTAAACAACCACATCATCATTAAACCTCATTTTTGCAAATATTTAATTCGGCAAGGCTGATGTAGTGACGAAGCCGGAATTTATGTAAATATATAAAATTATTTGTTATAACTGATTGACTCATCATCGCCCAGGGCAAACCGCTGAACCTAAAGAGGTGAAATTTGGTACACAGGGTACGTCATGGAAACGAACACTAAGAAGGGATTTTACAAAATTCCCCCGCTGGGGGAGAGGGAGAGCATTAAGGCTTAATTGGAAGAACGGCTTATATTGTACTATTTTNGGCCTCTTCAGTGGATACATCAAGATATCTTCTTCTTCTTCTATTAGTGTTTATACATCAAGATATCTTCTTCTTCTTCTATTAGTGTTTATACATCAAGATATCTTCTTCTTCT